GGGCATCTTTTGTATAAAGATTTCGTACTTGCCTAGTGTTGGCAAATCTTCAACCGATCTGACAAGCTTTTTTATCTCTTTTAAAGAACTTTAATATCTGCGGGAACTCGTGTGCATAGTAATGCCATGGCACGAGGCCCTGAAAACGCTCTAGCTTGGAGTGTCGACTCGGTAGAATTAACTGCCTCTCAATATCGGTTAGCGGCACTCGAGCAAAGTCGGTGGTACATAAGCCCAAGTCCTAACTGCTGTGGCCTGGGAGTTGGGTGGGTTGGTGGGACAGGATAAGGAGAGCAGTACCCTTGGGACATATATAGGGGTTTCCAGATACTATACACTGGTGAACAAAAGGCAGACATGAGTGATTGCCCATGGTCACCATTTTATATCCAGTTCCTTTTTAACGCCACCGTATTCGTGTTCTGTGCATATTGGAGGCTCAACATTAGAGACAACATTGGAGGCTCATGATAATAACCAACTTAAAAGAAATTTACATTGATTGCGTTGATAAATAAACTTTGCTCTGAACACTTGGATCACTGTATGAAAAATTCGAAGGCAGAAAACTGTACTCATTGTCAAACTATCTGCTGTTAATCAGGCTGATGTGATCGTCAATTTAATGTGGCAGACATTTCAGGCCTAGGAGAATGACGGTAGCGATTACTTCTACAAAAGTGCGGCAACAGTGGCAGTTATAAAAATGCACGTTAGAAAAACGTTGATGCAATGTGTAGGCCTACACTTACTAATCTAATTTGGTTCCAATCACGGGTGGATTATTTTGTAAACAGTTCTAAAAAATGAGCTAAAAGTTGACAAGAGTTTTAATAGCTGGGCAAATTCGAGCGACAAATTTTAGTTAACGGTAGTTTGACCAATATTGCCCAGACAATGGATTTTAAACCATCTATAATCGACTATTTTATAACCAGACCCCGGTCTTAGTCGCATCGCTGGTTATCAACGGAAGAAACCATTCGCGTGAAAATAATTGTAAGAGAAGTCACTGACCATGACCACTGCGAGTGGTGCAGCAGACGGCAAAATGTGACGACGAGATTTAGTACCATAGCTTAGTACCGGTACACCTAGGTTCCAGTATGACTTTATTAATCTTCACATTATGTAACAAGCATTCACTAATGGTCGAGCTATATATAGTTCGGGACCAAACTTACCCGCCTCTGCGATCCTTTTTTTTAGCGACACGATTCCTTCGCGAAACTTGCCAATCGCCAGGACTCTTCTGTAAGAGTTCTTCCATTCCAACCTAAAGTCATTGGAATTAAGAGTTTTATTCACCACCTGATACATGCTCTTCTCAGGTCCAATCAAAATGGCGACATGAAAACTTGAGTTAAAAAAGACATATCTTCTTTTTGTGACAACAGCCTCAACACTATTCAATTACAATGTTGTCACATATTAAAACGCAAACACGTGTATTTGCTGACAAATTTCTGCAATGAATTTGGCCCCAATAGGGAAATGGTAATTTCTGTCTTCATTATGTTTTATAGTAATAGAAATCTAATGTAGTAACTTCAGTAAATTCAAACGGTTTTGAACAATTAATAATGGTAAAAGATTTCAAGAGGAACAACAATATCAGTATTGTATTACCTTCCAAAACCACAAAAAGGAGTAATCCAAAAAATATACTTACCCATTAACAGCCACTAAACACATTTGATTTTGAAATAGAAATCTATTTTTCAAAATTGTCATAATAACCAAAAGAGAAAACCTTTTTAGTCATTTAATAATAAATATGTTTTAAGTATGACGAATCTGACCAATCATAGGAATAATGGTTATAATTAGTAACCTGGGACTGTAAATTATTATAAACCTCTTGCTGCTGGTTTAACTTGTAGGGGCCAACAATTTGGCAAATCAGCCCAAGCAAATTGAAAAAAGACCATTCATGATTTAATATACATATAAGCCTGCGTGTCTTTGCATGGAAATCAAGCTATTTCTGTCAACAACTCTTTACTACTGAGCAGAGCATGCTGATTTTAGAGAT